AGTCTTAGACCCTTACCGGACACTTTTGTTTTAACTCTGTTATTTGTTGTTTATTGTATACCGTACAGTTTTTACTCTTTCTCATCCTGCTGCTGTAACACAGTTTTACCTGTGAGATCAAAAAAGTCAAACTTAAAATCACACGGGCAAACTTGTGAGTGTGAATATTCTGTCTCTGTTAGACCTGTGATAGACGGCCAACCTGCTCCCTTACTCAGTGATCACCACAGTGGGCAGCATCACATGTTTGAGTTTTGGATGGATAAATGATAAATGGTAAATGGACTGGTTCTCATATAGCACTTTTTTACTCTTCTGAGCACTCAAAGTGCTTTACCCAACCTGTGCATTCACCCATTTGCACAAGCACATTTTCTAAGTGCTTTCTAACGTTCACACACATTCACACTCCTGTGGATGCATCGGAGAGCAATTTGGGGTTAGTAACTTGCCCAAGGATACTTGGCATGGAGAAGCCAGGGATCAAACCTCCAACCTTCTGATCAGTAGGTGATCAGCTCTATCTGCTGAGCTACAGCCACCCCATGGATAAAAACAAACAAAGAAAGAAAGAAAACAAACAGCTGTTGTGCATTTTTGGTTTATATCATAATTGTAAAATTCTAACTTTAATTCAACAACACAGCAGATTTCAGTTTTTTGATACACATGGAAAAGATAAAACAACAACAACTAAAAACATTAAAAATTGATCACATCGCAGTCTGACAGCTGAAGACGTCAGACTGTTCAGGAAAATAATGCAGAGGCTTCCTGCGCCGTAACAGTGGGTGTACAACAAGTTTCTGTAAAAAAACGGTCGTGGTGGTGAGCAAAACGACCGTTACAGCAGGTATACTACTGCGTTAAGGTGGTTTAACTTCAAACCCTTATAAACTCTCTACCTAGACCCTGTTTTCTCTAAAAAGACTTCTAACCTGAAGGGTAGATTATGAAGATGATGTTAAGGGAACAACTGCACATTAGAGACCTGAAACTTACAGCAGTAAAAATTAAGAAAAGATTTGCTTTAGCTTGTTGCAAATCTAAATTAATTGTATTACTTTCTTGTGTTGTGTGTTCTAATTGCTGCCATTTTATTAGTGTTAAAGAGATTTAGCAGCAGATTAGAATGAGGTATAACAGCACAGTCACTTTTAAAGTGAAACTCTGAACACATTACCTGCTCCTGACCAGGTTATTCAGTGTAAGTTACCACAGCAAATTAGATAAAAACAGCTACTTTTGTGACACAAACCTCTGACTTTTAGCTCAACACAGCTCACTGAGCAATTAACCTAGTGTCAAAAGTCCACCTCTCAGTGTGAGTTCTCATATGGCGCCACAACTGTGTTCTGGTTTTGAACCTTTTTTCACATCTTTGACAACAAAGCCACTGGCCAAGTGGAATACCTGGGAGTGTCCTCAAAACCTGCGCTTGCTGGCTCCTGTGTTCACCAGACTATTCAACCTCTCCCTGTCACATGCCACTGTCTCGCATTGCCTCAAATCAGCAACAATAATCCCATAGCTTTCTTAGAAACCGATCACAATCTGTCAAGGTTGGCAACCAGAGATCATCCACCCTGTCTCTCAGCACTGGCTCACCACAGGGATGTGTGCTGAGTCCACTCCTGTACACCATCTACACCAGTGACTGCACCCCCATTAGTGCTGGGCGATATGACGATATATATTGTGTGGACGATCGAAAAGTGTCTATCGTGCCATTTGTCTTCTATCGTTTCTAACCTAATTTTATAATTACATAAAATATACCATTAACCCTTTAAAAACAGTCGAAATGGGCACACTCCATTTTGCCTAAACTATTTTTAAATCCCAGTAGAACAGGAACCACGTAAGCTAGCGCAATAATTTTTTTTGCATATGAAACCGGAAGAGTTGCCATCAGCTTGCCCTCGGTCACAGTTTCCTTCCACATATAGCTTTGCAAAAACTGCATAAAAAGCACTTGCAGCAACAAAAACATAAAATTCCAGAAACACGTTTTGCCGATCCGATCAGCTGTTCATAACACTTCCTA